TGTCATTTTTTTCTCTTTATGAAATCCAAGTTGTATTCCGTAAAACATTTTAGGGCAAAATCCATTTAGGCCAGACCGATGAACATCTCTTAGTTGGGATTAAGGATGTCGTCGTGAAATCTGTGATATGGTGTAATAGGCCTTAGTGGCTAGCTCGCAAACGTGGTAGAGCCTTTGCTCAAGAAGCTGAGTGAGGTCTCGGAAAATACAGGATAACGTACTCGAAAACCATTATTGGAAGTTGTCATCTTCCAAAGGGTAAAATAATGCAGCCACATAAACCATATCTTTTCCGTCGCTGTGTCTGCAGTATCCATAAATGGAATTTTTTTTCTTTCATGGTAATACTCAGTAATTTCTCACGGCAGCTGCTGACGGAGACATATTTTTGTACAATTACATCGGTGGAAATGAATTGCCTATCATTTGACTATACGGAGCCGTATGATCAAAGCCGACAAATATCATTCATCAGAGCTGCTATCATGTTGTTGGGAAAGATGCACTTTTACTTACATTGATTGCAAGGTACTGATCAGCGACAAGAGGCATTATTTTGTAAATAACCAATAGCATGTGTTAAGAAATGCCGCACAGTCAAACATAGTGGATGCAGGACATTCATTGCTCAAAGTTTATCGATATATCAATACCGATCTCAGATTTGTTGAAAATTTCCTGATTAATGTGTTCACTTTTTGAAAGTGTGCGATACAATGCAATATTTATGTTCAGCAAACGGTTTAGAGCCAGCTTTGTTAGCTTGGTAGTAAGATGTTCGGATCGCAGTCGTTCGCCTCGGGTTCTTTTCCATTGGGAAGAGCTCCGTTCAGATGATCTGCAACTGGTTTCAGACAAGTGATACACAACTGGGATTCCGTTATATTCAGTGTTGAGTTGAACGTTGATACTTCACGATGAATCTTATTATTCGAAATCGAATCCCTTACTAACTATACTCATATCTGCTGTAGATACGTGAACAAAATTTCGCCGGAAGTAAGCAACCGGTTTCCTGTTTTACCACTCATCGGGTGTGCGCTCACCGTAATTCAGTGCCCACTCATCCTCAAATTTGTACACTTCTTTGGTACATTTTGCACAATGATCTCGTTTAAAGTCTCATGAGTTTGAATGAAGTGGCACTAATCATGTGATCTCCCTATATAAGGGATAATGCTACTGACTACACTTACGCATCATTAGCCTCACCAACATAGCATCAAAGTAATAAGCAATAACTAACGAACTGTTTTGTACACATCATGCTGGAACCTAAGAATGTCTATTCAATGTGTATTTCGACGTTGCGCGATGACGCGTGTAATACTTTGACCTCTGATAGTAGCGCGTTTCTATTTCTTCAGTTAACTGAAAGGGAAAATGAATATCCAAATTTTGCTTGAACTCATTAACAGTCAAGTTCGAAACCGAGCTTGAATTATTATGGACCAACTACTTCATGCATGATCGATAAATACGCCAACTAGTCTTATGAATCCGAATGAATTCCAGAAACTCCTCATATTTCGCTTTCGTTCACGTTGAACATTGGTTTGTTTGAGAGCTGATGACCTCTTTCCAGATGGTGTGTCCGTCCACATGTGCAGTTCAATGTGCTTCTCCGTATGTCTGCGTGTGTACGCGTCGGATTCGCCTCATTCTCTTGGTCGACGATTTCTCATCGATTTCACCGTACTACGATAAGTCAGCTTGTGAAAGTTGACTTAAAATAACTCATTTCTACTGGTCATTCGGACCATCTCACAACGTTTAGAAGTGTTCCGGTGTACAAGTCCCACTATACTGTAGTGAACAAAATGCCCCCGTGTTGTATTCTTTGGTTATTCATTAGCTTTTTGTCGACTGAAGTTCGCAGTGACAATGGTGAGTTGTTTCACGCATTCTTTAAACGTAAAGTTCAAGAACAATCATGACTTGCTTTGGAGAGCATACATGCTTTCTTTACTGTCCTTTGAATGAACGTACGTTCGGATAATTTGCCATTTGTACAAACGCTATTTTTATAATTAAATGAGATTTGTGGCGGAAGATTTAATGCATTGTGGTTGTGTTAATTTTTACCATTCTTAGGTCCGCATTCAGTAGTAATATATATTCTAAATCCCGCACTTTTATCTAATATCCGATAACTGATATTTCATTGAAAAACACACAGAAATGTATCTAAACGGCCAGCAGTTCGAAATATGGAAGCTGGTCGTAACACTTGATCCAATCGGATCTGTTCATTTTTGCTGTGGAAATGCTTATTCTCTGGTCATTGATAGTGGTAACCGACAGACCTGCCATATATGATGTTGCTTGACGCAGGTGAATATATAAAGCCTAATTGCTAGCGCTTCTAATAAACAATGTGAATGCTAGGTTCTTGTTGCACAGTCGCTGATATTCCAATAAACATAGTTTTGTCCAGACTGACGAGAGCAGTGCCTCCCATGACTTTACTCATATTTTGGGAATCATCAGGTTGGCAGTTTCCAGGTCAAGCAATAATGTGACAGTTGTACATATACCACACGAATTTGACCCCAATTTAATTTTCAATCATCTGAATTTCTTGTGTCGCAGATTTGACGGAAAAAATCGTCACACTGAAAAATAACTATCAGGTGATGATTCAAAAATGGACTGCATTTCATCAGCTTGCCATAGTGAACCACTTATGTGAGTCAAAAAACTTTATATTTGACAAGTGCAATATGGCATTAAAATATCATCATTCTAACTTGATCAAATCATCCACTGTCGAAATATATTTTTAATCCTAATCATGGTTCCCTTGCAATACATGTTGTCTAGTGGGTAGTAAAAATTCTACCATCAGTTACATGCATCAATTTTATGCGGTTTCTTGTGATGCTGTTTTGGATATCATAATTGCTGGCGAGTTTTACACTGACTCGTTCGTCTTATTACGATCGCCAATTTTCGTCAGAGAATCAATATGGAGGTCTATAATTATTATGGTCACTGCGGGGAATCACAGAACTTGGGATATTAAAATCACCACGCGGAATTTGAACGTAATTGAATCATTGATATTGCTTTCCAAAGCAGGAATACCTGTACGGCCAAATTGCAAATTTTTGTATTGCTGTAGGCTGCAAGGGTCAAGCTAGACCTGAGAGAGCACTCATAAACATAGTTTTTCCTATAGTGTATATAAAGACGACGTTATAGTATCATCTCCAAACTTTACCTGGATAATGGAGTAGACCCAAGTAGCCTACTGATAACTGGTACAATCATGGTGTAGTTTACTTGACTTTTGAGTTCAAGGTCCACACAACTTATCGGGTTATGGTAGTCGACTGGTAGACAACTTTGGGGTAATTAAGTGACTCCTATAGCTGAGTGAAGACACGATAGCCCAATAAAATACAATATTCACTGCGAATCATTTCAAGTTCAGAAGTAAAAATTTCCAAGTTTGTATGGAGCTATGTTCTAGCATCGTGTATTGTTATTTTATCTTAGCTGCTATCATTTTGAAGAGAATGCACATCCAGCTCGCGTGTGACGATCATCAACCGCGGTAACAATGAATATATTGTTATGCATTGGCAAGCCATTGGCGCAAGTCGTTTTTGTCATAGCATCGGAGTCCTTTTGTAGCGCAAGTACACAGATCGTCGTGTTCTCTCATTTCCTACGTCAGATATGCATTTGATTTTGTTGCGCTCATCTCAATCACAGTTATGATCATCACGGACGTCTGTCGGACGATTAAGTATACGTTGGGATTATTTGGCAAAACTGCGCTGTTTTTTGCAAAACAACTCCAGGCGCATGCTTCTTTGCGCCCATTGAGCCAATGCAATTGGCAATGCGTGATTACTGATGCAGTACTAAAGCCAAGACTCATTATCACAAAATATTTATTGCTGTGCTCATTTAAGATCAAAATATTAGTAGTGGACTAATAAACGGGCGATCATATCACCTATTTTATCTAACTTTTTCTCAAAATACAACGTCAGTACATTCAGTTTTATTCATGTATGGTGAAATCTTATTTATTGTGAATATTAGCACCCCAAAGTAAGCGCCTTGTAAACTAACTTCAGAATTTGCGAACTGTACGTAATATGGTTAGAAAAATCAGCGATAACATTTATTTCCAAAATCTTGTGTTCGTCTACTCATATTTTCGACTATCCGTGTGATGAGTGGGCGTGAATATTACGTTTTTTTCTGAATTCCCACCACAGCCGTCATGTGGTATTTGAAAATCGGACGGTGGATTATGGACCGATCAAGAACAGATTTGTGGCACTATTTTTGACTAGAAAGGGGGATACTCTACGGTAAATGACAGATTCTCTTAAAAGTGGATGAACGGTCATGAGGAAAGGATGGAAATGATGACATTTAGGGAAGGTATCGTTTAGAGAATGATCATCAAACGAATTCAAGACTTCTAAGCGACGAGCTCTTTTGTTTAAAAGTTATGCGCCCAACTATCATTTTATGTTTCTACCATTTGAATCAGGAGTGCTGATTTAGCTCACCTGGTGTGTAGAGTGTCGTTTGTGACCGCTGGTGATTTGCGTCGCTTTTACCCCCTAGTTCCAGTATGCAGACACCATTCACACCGACCAAATTGTGATAGATAATCGTTTGTCACATCTGATCCAACAGGGTGCTCGCAACGCACATCACATAACCACGTGTATCTGTTAATGCCGATGATTCCGTAGACCTTTGAGAGGAAGAAACACAGAATTACGGAACAGAAAGTTGCTATAGGAACCGACCACAAGCACGACGATGGATGAATAACGGCACAATTTTGCAATCGGATATTTGATCTGACGTTCAGACGAATCATTTTCACTATCAACGCTGAACTCACTGAGAGATAATACAGGAGTACTCTTCAACTGTTTAAACTCTTTTTCTTGCAATAAAACTTAATTCCTCCAAGGTCAGCAAAACGTTCGTGATGAAATTACTGGCTAGATATAACAATATAAATGCATTTCCAATGTAATGTATCGCTTCTGTCCAATCTAGCATTGGACATAATCAGACTCTATTCAACAACACTCAACGACCAGTTGCGAGAAATTACGCAAGCACGTGAGTTAGTTAATCTGTATTCTAAATTTCTGTGAATACTTCTGTCGAATACTGGTTGAGCAATCCGCAATGTGGGCCACGTGCATGGCATTGTTATCAGATTTTGCGTGACTGCAGTTTTACTGGATACCACTCACAACACTTTGACACACGATCTGTTGGTGTTCAGGGACTGCATTCAACCCTCATTTGCAGGTTTATTGGCGTATGTTTTGGAATAGGTAGGCCTCTTACCTTTAAATGGTTGATAGCCTTAACTGCCAAGAAAATAGTGTACGAGAACGGGAAAACAATCAAAAATCGCACTGGCACCTTATTCGGTGAAAACTGTACAACGCGGAAGTTAACTAGCGCTACCATGAGTGCCAAAGTTTAATGAGTTTATATACACATATATAAGTAATGTGCATTGGTGCACAGCAAAACTAGAAGTTACGAATGTGTTTTTTTGTGCTTAATGGCGTGGATCAAAAAGACTACTTTGAAATGAATTAGCGGATCTTCAGGGCGTTGTTACTTTATTACAAAAGATCGAGCATTACTATGTTCCAGGAACAAGTTGTTGCACCGTTTAACCTGATACGACTTATCTTAGTAGTTTCAGCAAATATGTTTCTTCGTTACCCGCTTCTCATATCCAATCCGAAACCCCGGGAGGTACGAAATCATGGAGCAACCAATCAACATTTTCAACAATCCGGCATCTTTGCATTCACTTTAACACTTGCCTATTATTTCATCTATATAAGAACGATCTTAATTATGTGATCCGTCCAGCTTGGCAAATCTGATGCTGTTGGTGATGATGCCATCAATGCATACATTCAACTGCTTGAATATAAAATAGTAATCATTACCTTATGTAGTGAATCCTGTCGGTAAGTAATCCGCAGTTTTTTGAGTTTTATGTGATGAATAAGCTATTTTTTTAATGTGTTGGCAAAAATGATCGAGTCGTAGCTGTGTTTGCACTGATCAGAATGTCAAACTTCCGATGATTCATGCTGTAATTCTTGCCAACGTGTATTCCTGAATTCGAAAGCCCACGTATGCAAACGGTTACCTTAGAACTTTGAGCAGAATATTGGACGGTTAGAAAAAATGAAACGCTATTTGATTCGATCCTTGAAGTTCTTTGTCATGTAGGACCTCGTATGAACTCTACAAATGTCAGAAATGTTCTCCACACCGTGTTGCAGGGTATTGCTGGATATCTGTGTATACTTTCATTGAGATGAACACAAAGTACAAACTTTCCTGTTGGTTCTCATGACAATATCTGGTTGCATTTTAGAAGGCAGAATGTTTTTATAGCCGTTTCTGCCTAAGTTTATGAAAAACGCATGCTCAAAAGAAACTTCCTTCCGAATTGCTTACCAATTTATCTAATTGTAGATTATGACAAACTTGGTAAATTCCTCCAAAAATTTTAAACAACACCAATTTACAAATTGCTGTTTTCGGTAAATAAAAATTAAATCATTATTTTAATCGATATACTTTTCAAACCATTTGGGACTGAAGACGATTTCCGGTTTCACACAAAAATTTGCATTCATACGGCGTTTTTCGTTTTGATTTCTTGAATATTGATCTGACTAATAAGGGACAGTCATGATGATATACGTGTGAACGAAAAAGTCCTACATTATAAGATAGTAAGTGGATGGTAGTTTGCTCTCGAAGATTAGATTTAATTCTTGAAATCTCAAAACGCCAACGAATTTCCTTGGTCAAAAGCCAGTTCCTAACTACTGAAGCAATGTTCTTTTATTTAGACGAGTAAATTACGGCATTGGACGGATTACAAAGAGCAATATGTTCATTGATTGCCAGTGAGAACCATTATATAGTCACCAGCAATCATGGAAAAATTGTTGAAATTCCTAGTTCCAAACTACTGATATATCATACACGTTTTTTATAGTAGCCTTCCACTTTTTCAGAGTTGGTTTTGAAGAACTCAAGGCCAATGATAAAAACTGTGTTACTTGCTAGTCGGCAGATAGAAGAAAGTATGATCAACGGAATGTACGATCCACGAGGTGAGTTTATTGTCACTCTATCGCACTGGATGAACATATGAAAATAATGTAAGACATGTTGATCGATAATTGCGGCCGACAATAAGATATGACTTTTTTTCTATACGAATTCATCGGAAGGAGGTGATTTGCATCGTAATCGAAATTCAATGAGTAATATTTACATGATCATACTTGTTTGGATTTTAAAGATTGACAACAAAATTATTATGGTTATTTCATGTCAATGAGATTATTTAGTTATGTAAATCGTAGTCAATTCCCTCTGTAATCCATTCACAAATATGAGAAAGCTCGGCGGAGTGAGCATTTGAGCTACAGCCCTCCTAATATCGTGACACTAGATTGAACAAAGCCGACAGTATTGTTTACAAGTTGTTGTTTTGTCAAATGAAAATCTTGATCAAAATGTTTGTTTGTTTGATATCTTTCTTCTGAAGCATTATTCTATTTTTGTAGGGGCTGAAGGCACATTATCGCTTTCATTTCGGGATGTTTTACCGATAGCTGATCAGCTAATCAATATGATTGAGGTCATTCTTCACAAAATGGATCTCGCCGCCACAGATTTGAATTACCCATTCAGAGGGTTTAGATGAAGGCTTGCTTCAAAAGCCCAAAAAATGAACAAGGCATTCTTTGAAAATGGGCCATTCGGATGAGGCGATTCTGATTATGTTTGCATGTTATGAACTACAATATACCGATGTTGAATTTTGGTTTCATTTTGAGACACGATTGCCCCGAATGGAACCACATTGGGTACTGCAGAATACAAACTAAGAGAATGTTGATAAGTTGCACAACCAAAATTAGGACCATCAAGTGAGTTTTACCGAGGGCTGACGTGAATGAAATGTGTTCACAGTGCATATGCTATGTGCTGCAGTAAAGCTGATTTCAAATCCCCCACAATTACCACTTTCAAAACGAGTCACAAATGTTCTTCAACCTGCGCGCGCTTTATCATTGGTGAAAATTGTCAAACGTGACGTTTCCCGATCGGACTTCAAAGCCTCACTTCATATAAACTTGCCATTTCAAAATCATCTAGCGAACCTAGTGTTATAACTGAGCTCAAGTCGTTCAAATACTGCGGCGACTTTGAACCTACTGAATATCTGATTCATTCTCATCTTCCATGAAATGTTGTTCCCCCGAACGACAGCTATGCTGTTCACGTAACATTAGAGAACCACAAAATCGAAATTCACCTGCCAAGGACGCTTCACCTGTGGTACGGACCTATTACTTAGTAACGAGTAAACAATTCTGTTGATCTGATCAACCGATTTGTAGGATCACTGAAACTTACTTCCAACTTACACTTCACTAGAACGAAGATAACTGAGGCCTCTCCATTGTTTTGATTTCAACAATTTACTCTCTGCAATTTTACCTTTTTGCGCTGTTTCCACCCGTCGCATTCATGTTCAACATAGAAATGAGCACCGAAAAATTGCATAGCTTCCAAAGGCAACCAAATGGTTAGATGCCAATAATCACCCTCAAGCCTCTAAATCTACTTGAAAAACTGACTAACTTATAAGGGTATGAATACGTCGATGACGGTTTCACATGAAAGTGTCCATTTGCCTTGAACAATCACTTTTGTGTGGATATTCAGAACATCATTGACAGTTTCGAATTATCCAGGCCATGTGTAACGGGCTGATCAGCAGAGAGATCAAAACGTACGTGCGTCCTCCGGAATTATACAAACATAAAATTCTGACGTTTATCCCGATAACTCGCTTGATTTTCTTACGAATACTGGGAGCTTGTTTGTTCAGTGTTTCACGTCCGCCAAGTTTACAATATCTTCCTGTCACCCAGAAGCATAACTTGACGTGTGAGCACAACTGGGGTAATGTACTGATGAGCGTGCTTATCGTGTTCATTTCACATTGTGGGTTAATGAGCTATCATGTTTTAGACGGAGAACGCTGTGGGATTCAGCACCGCCTAGTAAACGCTCATGATTCCTTCTGATTTCTTCATCTAATGGTGGTCAATTAGTTGCGGCAATGTAAGTTTCATTCATAAGGATTTGTGATACGGTATACCAAATGCAATCGGGTTAAAAGTGAAGCTAACAACGTATTATTCCTGAGCAGTTCAAATAACTAAAATATTCCAAATATCATACGTCACTGATTACAGACTTGGCACCTGCAGCGTTTTCTTTGCAACCAACTTCCAGCCGGAATACAATACTAAAAGCTCACCGTCCACCCTAGCGAAGTTAACTGAAAAAAAGTCGTTCCTGTGGGGTAATGACCAGATCGGTGATCTACGTGGCGAATAAAGAGATAAAGAATGGCACCCTGAATAACACCGGAGTTGTTCGTTGAGGAGCTCAGAATAAATTTTCCAACCACAGTAATTTGAGTTCTAATAGAAAAGTAATCTGCCAGTCCTGAGGGTAAAGAAGTGTGACAGTCAAAATATTCCAGACTTTGAAGAAGTAGAGGACGGGAACCGAATCCAAAGTGGAAGACTTATCAAGGAAAACATAAAGAAGTGATTTCACGGAACTACTGAAGATCTTTGAAATGAAATGGAAAACTGAGGTAACTGAGTACAGAGTGCATCCATTGGGTTCTTACGTAAGCTGATATGAATAAATAGGAACAACAAAAGGGAAACGCACTTGGCTACGGGTAGCTCGCTCGGTTAACATGAATGCAGCAAACGTGATGATGGTGGCACCAAAACGTTTTGACAAAATATTGGACCTGTTGATTGGGCAATATATACTACTGTCAGGATTTTCCAGGGTGTAGGAATAGCACCAGCTTTGAGATTCATTTATCAAGGAAGTCATAGTCCCGGGTAACAGGCTTTTTTCGAGTTTGAAGACAGTGGCGGATAAACCAGCTGAGCCCAGAACAGAAGCTGATGTTCGGGTTTGAAGTAACCTAAAGTCTTCTGCAGAAAGAGGCTCTGTGTCTAAGGAAGCAGAAGTATCGGGTGGTAGTGTATCGGATGAAAGATGAATGAACGCGGTGTTCACGGTTTTATTTGTGGTACAGAAGTGCTGGTGGGCAAATGTCCTATTCGGCCGTTGTATGTGTTGTTTGATGAGAGTGAGGCGTCTTTCCGCAGTAGCCTCATCATACAGTCTACAGGCATGTTTTTCGCGCCTTCTCTGAGAAGTAAGCTATGTAGAAGCTATTTTATCGTATTCAGGGCACCAGGTTCCATAGGACAACACGAAATTAGTGTAGTCGCAAATAAGTCTAACGTGCAAAAAAGGACCACTCAAAAGAAAACCTTCAAGGAACAATGAAAAGGGATCTTTGAAAAGGGACCATGTTTACTGGTGAAAAGTCTCAAGAGGTGGTTTTCATTCGTTTTGTCCTGACGAGTGAACATGATGCTTAAAATGCTTGCATTTTTTGCTCTGACGGTAATGAGAATGCGACTCCTGGTTGGAGCAGGAGATTTCAGTTATAATCAAAAATGTACAGAATGGTTGGTGATAATTTTGTCTGAAACGACATTTCCTCTAGGCAGGATAAAACAGAGGTCACATGAAACAAGAGCAAGTAAGGGCGTGTGAGAGCATGATTAACATCATGGAAAACAATACATGAACAGTCAGATAGTAATAGGATCAGATCGCGCATGTCAAGATTACTGACCACAGCTTCTTGCAAAGGATGATATTTAACAACCACACAGTCAATATCGTTACAAGAGAATGTAAAAATGACTTTGGACTTGCCAGACTACAAAAACTTGATGTAAGCACCCATAGAATCACCTGTTTTCTTCTTGCAATGTCATATTTCCTGACGAAAGTATGCAAATTTATGAGGATAAACGAATGTGTTTATTTATTTAAGACTCTTGAATCCAGACCACGGAAGTGTGGATGGTAATCTGGAAGTTTAAAACATTGGTTCGAAATGCTATCTTTCTAAAAGGAAGCCGAAAGTTAGCTCTGACCAATGCGGGAACTGTTATCTTCCTTGAAATTTTGGCTACTAATTGCGGTCTACCATTCGATATGCCTGCAAGCTAGGTGGGTGTTGTAAAACAAGAGTTCTAAAGGGTGAGATAAAAAAATCTGTCTTCAATCCGGGTGAAGTTTCTTTCAAGCGGCGGATTTTGGGTGATATGTATTGATGATATGAATAATTTCAAAGTGAAATTGATCGAGTTCTCAACGGTATTTAGCTCGGCCAATCGGGGAGCACGCCGCATGAACTTGGATTTTCAACCATTGTTTCTGATAGGATAAATAATAAGAAACGAAATATTCACTACACAATTTTGTTATAAATATGATAAAACATGAAATAAATTGAGAACAAAGGACAGTAAAAATTCATAAAAACGATGCATCTGATCATTCATAACGAAATACGTCTTGAATTTTTAATATAATAGTCCCAGTAGAATATTCAATCACAGTGGACCAACACAGGTTTTGCAGCTGTTAAGGAATGATCTCCTTTGGGTTTCTGCACATTTTGCAAGCAACAAAGAGCAGAGTTGAGGACCGTGAGTGAATATATGTAGTTGACAACAACAGCGAAACTATCACATTTCTAAAAGTATGTTCGTTTAGAAAATGAAACGTGTACCGTTCACGCCGATTAAGTTGACAGTAAATTAGTGTGCCATCTGTCGTACACAGATTGTCATTGTGTGCTTGTGGGAATGCGATGGATTTGGTGGGGGATCTTACCCTGAGCTTAAACAATAATTGCCAAAGCTCGAGTAGAACCGTGAACGATGATGAAGAATTATAGTCTTACGGGATGAACAAAGTGCAAACACAAAGACCTCTTGAGAGTTTCACGTTATTCAACTGGACAAATCTTTAGGAACATTCGACCGAGAACTTTGTTACAAAACTGCCCGTGCTTGATTAAAAAACCCCAGCAGCAACATGCTTTTTTACCAGGGCTCGTTTAAAAGCCAGTAGTTAGGTATCGAGCGAAGCACTCACCTTAACCAGTGACACAGGTATTGGGATTCTTTGTCCAAGAATGAATCCTTTAAATGAACTTTAGGCATTCGATGGATAACCAGAAGCAAAACGTTCGTAACGTGATATACATATTAGGTTTCTAGCGTAAAACTCTGCCATGCGAGGACTGTGAGCTTTTAGTATTGTATTCCGGCTGGAAGTTGGTTGCAAAGAAAACGCTGCAGGTGCCAAGTCTGTAATCAGTGACGTATGATATTTGGAATATTTTAGTTATTTGAACTGCTCAGGAATAATACGTTGTTAGCTTCACTTTTAACCCGATTGCATTTGGTATACCGTATCACAAATCCTTATGAATGAAACTTACATTGCCGCAACTAATTGACCACCATTAGATGAAGAAATCAGAAGGAATCATGAGCGTTTACTAGGCGGTGCTGAATCCCACAGCGTTCTCCGTCTAAAACATGATAGCTTATTAACCCACAATGTGAAATGAACACGATAAGCACGCTCATCAGTACATTACCCCAGTTGTGCTCACACGTCAAGTTATGCTTCTGGGTGACAGGAAGATATTGTAAACTTGGCGGACGTGAAACACTGAACAAACAAGCTCCCAGTATTCGTAAGAAAATCAAGCGAGTTATCGGG